GATTTAAAGCAAGGCATAGTTTGTTACTCGCAGCGAGTAAGGAGACGGGGATCAGTCCCAAAGCACTCTCTCCCCAACAAACGGCTGGGGCAGTTTTGTACCAAGCGGGAAAGGGGAAGTCATACATATTCATTAACTTTATATATATTCAAAACTGGGTCCGGTGGGATTTGGCGTGGAAGTGGCTGACAGACTTCTGGCTTCTGCAGTGGGCTTGGTCACCGCTTGTTGATGTTATGTTTGGTGATTTTGGTTCCTTGGCATGGGTCTTTTTGGTTCCTAGGCAATACTTATTATGGGATGGGGCCATCTGGCGGTCAACCTGGTCTCTTACGGACATGCCTAGGATTCTAGTCCTAATTGGCTGATCGAAAGGACAACTGTAAGTGGGAAAATGAGGAGGAGGCAGCTTAAACTTTAACTGCAAGTGAGGTAAACAGTGCTTTGTGGTTGACACCATTCTTCTTCTAGAAAAATTTTTAACTGACATAACTTTTTGTTTAAAACCTTTTCTGTCCCTAGCTGGTCTCACACCTTTTGGTTAGCAGCCAAGCTCTTAACCACTGTGCCATCAGGGCTCCAGTATTATATATTACACCATTTTATATAAGAGACTTGAGTAGGGATTTTGGTATCCTGAGGGATCCTGGAAGGAATCCTCCCTGGATACCGACGGAGGACTGTATGTTTTGGTCCTGCCTATGCCACTTTTGTAGGCTTTTAGGCAAACATTCGAGTAGACATTTTACAAGTTTTTGTCAATTCACCATCTTTTCCTTTCAGGGATTGCCTCCCTTTCCCCCATGCTGACAATCAAATGGCCAGTGACCTCACTTCTCTTAGCTCAGGGCTGGACATGTGACCCTTGAAATTCTTGTCTCTAGCTCAATCTAAATGGTTTTGTAAATGTCACATGGAGAATCAGATTGTAAGCACTACAGAACGCCAATGCTCCAGGTAGCCATCTTGCTGCCACATGAAGTAAGTTGGCTGGAGAATGAAGCTAATACAGATGAAAGCAGAGCCATGTGATGGAGAGATACAGAGACCCAACAACATCATTTGAACCCATAAACTCAGTCATGCCTCAAAGCCATATCATCCACTTAGATTTTCCAGTTATGAATCACTCCACCTTTCTTTTCCATCAGCTAGTTTGAGACAGTTTTCTGAAATCTTACTAATATTATTGCTTAAACTCTCTGGCTTCAGTTTTCTCAGCTGTAAATCAAGGGGATTAACCCTTGTACCTCTGGTGTCACCCTGAGAAGAACATGCTCTGACTAAGCTCTCTGGCAGAAGACAGACACACGGAGTAGAGTCACCTAACTCACCCACATGTCCTAAAGCAGGGCTGCCAGTGGTGCCTGGCCTAAATCAGCTTAATCCCAGCCAACCTGCCAAGGCATGGGTAATAATTCAAAGATTAAAATAATAATAAATTAAGGAGATTAGATGATGGTTAAATCTCAGCCAACTTTACATATGCTCATGTCTAAGAATGGAACATTAAAATGTAGGTGCTAGGTGCAACAAGGAGCCCTGGTGGTATAGTGGTTAAAAGCTCAGCTGTTAACCAAAAGGTTGGCAGTTCGAATCCATCAGCCTCTCCTTGGAAACCCTATGGGGCAGTTCTACTCTGTCCTATTGGGTCACTATGCATCAGAATCAACTCAACAGCAACAAGTTTTTGGCTTAGGCACAACAATTGGTCTCTATTCACCTGGAGCAACAGAGGAAGGAGAGACAGGAATAGGAGGAGGATGTGGAATGTGTGGCTGATTGCCTCTGTGAACAACTGCATCCTTTGCCACGAGACCGGAGAAACTGGATAGTACCTGCCTACCATGACTGAACACTTTGATTAAAGATTCCATAGAAGAATCTTGATCAAAGGGGGAAATGCAGAAAAGAATTTCAAATTATCATGGACGCTAGACTTTCCGGAGGGTGGATGAACCCCTGAAACTACTGCCCTGAGATAATCCTTAAACCTTAAACCAAAATATCACCTCAAGTTATCTTAAAACCGAGTAATACTTTAGCTTAATGTCATGGATGGAATTGTGTCCCCGCAAAATATCTGTCAGCGTGGCTAGGTCATGATTCCCAGTATTGTATTATTGTGCACCGTTTTGTAATCTGATGTGATTTCCTTATGTGTTGCAAACTCTATCACTATGATGTAATAAGATGGATTAGCAGCAGTTATACTGATGAGGTCTGCAAGATTGGACAGTGTCTTAAGCCAATCACTTTTGAGATATAAAAGAGAGAAGTGAGCAGAGACACATGGGAACCTCACACCACCAAGAAAGCAGTGCGGGAGAAGAGCACGACCTTTGGACCTGAGGTCCCTGCGCTGAGATGCTCCCAGACCAAGGGAACACTGGTGCATCACAAGGACCTTCCTCCAGAGCTGACAGAGAGAGAAGGCCTTCCGTGGAGCTGACACCCTGAATTTGTACTTGTAACCTACTAGACTGTGAAAGAATAAATTTCTCTTTGTTGAAGCTATCCGCTGTGGTATTTCTGTTATAGCAGCACCTGATAACTAAGACACTTAACTAGTAAAAAAAGCTTGACTCGGGCATTACGCTCTTTTAAGAACTATGAATATGGGATCAAACTGACAACAGCAACTCAAAAGTTTAGATAGGAACCTTAGGGGGAAGCAAATTTATGTTAATGTGGAGGAACAACTCAGAAAAGAAGAATGAGAATGGTTGCACAACTGGAATAATGTAATCGATGTCAATAAATTGTATGTATAGAAACTTGGATTGTTGTATGTTTTGCTGTGTATATTCTCAACAATAAGCACAAAATAAATAAAATAAGTAGATGCTTTTCCATCATATATCTACAAACTCAATTTCATGCTGGCATCTCTGGCCTTAAATCTAAAATTGTTACTCATTTTTTCCTAAATTTCTCTCATTCTCTTCAGGGAAACAAAAAAATTGCCTTTATTATGCACCAATGGAAATAAATCCAAATATAATTTAGAGCACTAGAATATTAGAGCTGGAATGTAACTTGGAGATGATACAGTTCAATTTCCTCCTTCTACACGTGAGAATCTGAGGTGAATAGAGCTTTCATGACCTAGCAAAGATCTGTCAGCTGGTTAATGTCAGATGGGACTAGAACCCCAGCTTTTTAATTCCTAGCTCATCGCTCCTTCTAGTACAACAAATCTCTTCTGATGTTTACCAAGTTTGGAGGTATTCAAAGCTAATACTCCCTTCTGACCTCACTGCTTCTAATTTTTCTAAATATATTCAGGACTTTTGAAAACTGTTTGCTTGAATATCAAAGTTTCTTCTTGTCCAAAAAAATGAAGAACAAATGGAAGTAGCCAGCAAGCCTGAAGCTTTGTGATTAGCCTATTTTATGTTGCATAAGTTTCCTGTTCCAAAAGAGTATGCCATTTCTGTCATTCAAAAAAAAAAAAAAAAGATTTAAGTCACCACTCCATCTCTCTCTTTTATGACAGCAATTTTTTAAAGGTTGAGCAGAGTTACCCCCACACCTGTTTCTTAAACTGAAAGGGACCCAGCTGCACTCTGCAGGGAAATCACAAAGACAACTGGAGATCTTGTCAATTTATAGCCCAGCCTGGCTGGAGAAAAGTGGATGGCTGATTTGAGAAGATATGGGAATAAGTACATTTACCCAAAGACGAGCCTGGCCTAGCCAAGGAGACCAGAGATGATGAGGAAGGCTTCCTTTGGTTTGGTGGAGAAATTCACGATTCTGTAACATCAATCAAGACCGTTTTATCTGATTGCTAAGTTTCAGGAAAGCCAGTGAACATTTAAAATAACTACAGAAAGAGAAAAAAGGAGCTAGGGAAAGATACAATCATTCTCTCTTATGTAAAGTTGGAAACTAAAGCTCTAAATGGTATCGAAATAATATTAAGTTTCAATGTTATCACATTGAAGTATTAAATTTAGTTTAATTTTATAAGAACAAAGGATCTCTCTTTTAGATTTCTATGCCTACCCTGCAAGGGATTATGATCCCAATTCAATAACATACAGACGAGAAACAATGGATTGTCAGGAGAGGGCTGGGATAGCAAAGCAAACTTCCTTAAAACTGTTTTTTTTTTTTAAAAAGTCTCATTAAGGATAATCACTCATAATATATTCTTCTAGGTTTCAATAAATGTGGGTTAAAATCGTTTGCATTATACTGGTTAGGCTGTATCGTCTTCTGTCATTTATCGGTTGACTATAGCTATAAACTGCTCATACATGTAGAGTAGACAGCAACTGGGGGACATGTCCGAGAAGTTGAAAGAACATCTTCATCCCTTCCCCAAATACACACACATACACACACACACACACAATTCTGCACAAAAAGTCCACAGTAATTTGCCCTTAATAGTCTGACTTCCTCATGGGCAGGAATCGGCATGCTTAATTATCCTATTATTGGTGCCTGTTTAGGAACAACGCAATTTTAAATGCTATGGGAGGAAGTTGGAAACACAGAGCCAGTTAGGATCACAGCACAGGTGGCAAGGCCCTAGAAATTGCATGGAGGTTCACAAAGAAAGGAGAGGGATGCCTGTCTGTCAGATTGTGTAAGCATCAAAGAGGAACCACCTCCTCCTCAATTAATTTCACTTAAATATTTTTAAATTATCAATTATGTGTAAAGGATATGCTGAAGTATGAATTGTTTCTACGTTTAAAGTCCCTACTCTGTTGTGGTTAGTTGCTGTCTAGTCCATTCCAACTCATGGCAACCCCACGTGCGCAAAGTGGAACTGCTCCATAGGGTTTTCAAGGCTGTGATCTTTTGGAAGCAGATGGTCAGGCCTGCCTTCGGAGGCTCCTCTGGCTGGGTTAGAACTGCCTATCTTTCAGCTGGTAGTCAAGTGCTTAACCGTGTCACCTAGGGACTCTTACTGTATAGCTGGAACATAAAACATGCACATCTAAAATATTAAAAATATACCCCATAGTGAATGGTGATGACTGATGACTGGTCCTGGCGTGAAGGACTATGAATGTTTGGAGGTTGATGATATTGCTTCAAGTGAAGTGCAAAGGGTGGATTTAGATAACGAGTCAGTAGGAAGTGAGCCTTAAGCCAGAGCTTCAAGGATGCTAGGATACAGATAGAAAGGAATGGGAAAAAAATTCTACGTGAGGGAAAAGATAAAGCAAAGTGTGGAGGTGAGGAATGCTGGACGCACGTGTATAGCACAGGGAATAGGCCACCACTGACACCGAGAGGAAGACACTCGAAAGATTCTGTCTTGGTCTGGGTTCTCTAGAAGGGCATGTATATAAATATACATAGAGATTGACTTCAAGGAAATGGCTAAGGCAATTGTGAGAAACTGGCTCATGCAGTTGTGGAGGGTGGACAGTCCCAAATCTGTGAGTCAGGCAGCAGGCTGAAGACTTCTGCTGGGTCACATGGTTGCGGGAGCTGACAAACCACAAATCTGCGTGTCAGGCAACAAACTGGAGGCCTCTTTCACTGACCCTCTGCTTTACCAAGCAAGATGTCCTTCTCCAGGAACTAGTCCCCTGATAACGTGTCCAAAGTACTTGAGAGGAAGTCTCATCATCCTCACTTCTAAGGAGCATTCTGGCTGTACTTCTTCCAAGACAGATTTGTTCTGCCTTCTGGCAGTCCATGGTAGAGGCAATATTCTTCGCCAACACCATAATTCAAAGGCGTCAGTTCTTCCTTAGTCTTCCTTTCTCATTGTCAGCTTTCACATGCATATGAGGTGACTGCAAATACTATGGCTTGGGTCAGATGCACCTTAGTCTTCAAAGTGACATCTTTGCTTTTTAACACTTTAAGGAGGTCTTTTGCAGCTAATTTGTCCAATGCATCGTTTAATTTCTTGACTGCTGCTTCCATGGGTGTTGATTGTGGATCCAAGTAAAGTGAAATCCTTGACAGCTTCAATATTTTCTCTGTTTATCATGATGTTGCTTATTGGTCCAGTTGTGAAGATTTTTGTTTTCTTTATGTTGAGGTGTAATCCATACTGAAGGCTGTGGTCTTTGATCTTCTTCAGTAAGTGCTTCAAGTCCTGTTCACTTTCCATAAGCAAGGTTGTGTCATCTGCATATCCCAGGTTGTTAATGAGTCTTCCTCCAATCCTGATGCTGTGTTCTTCTTCATATAATCCAAGAGAAACACTTACCAGACTTCCATTTGGACATTGAGAAGAGCTGAGGGTCAGACCCAAAGTTTGGAGTCACACAGGCCCCTGCCAACAATACCATCAATTCAATATATTATAATCCAGTATCTTGTTTCAAATCTGTCCTAGTAGCAACAGTTCATATTTCTAAATACCGAGAAAGTTTTCCTACATGGGCCTTTACCTGTTGTTTAATTTTCACTCCCTATTGACTCTTCTGGAGCCCTGGTGGCACAGTGGTTAAGAGCTCGGCTGCTAAACTGAAGGTCGGCAGTTCGAATCCACCAACTGCTCCTTGGAACCATGTGGGGCAGTTCTATTCTGTCCTATAGGGTCACTATGAGTCAGAATCGACTCCATGGCAACAGTTTTTATCGAATCTTCCAGGAGCCCTGGTGGTGCGGTGGTTAAAGTGATCAACTGCTAACTGAAAGGTTGATGATTTGAAGCTACCAGGGGCTCCTCCGGAGAAAGATGTGCTAGGCTGCATCTGTAGAGATTTACAGCCTTGGAAACCCTGTAGGGTTGTTATGAGTCGGAATCGACTCGACAATGGTGGGTTTGGTTTGGTTTGGGTTTATGGAATCTTTCATAGGAACTGTAAGTCATTGTCCCTCAGCCCTTGACTCCCAGTCTCCCACCCACCCTCTTTCATATTCACAAAAGAGCAGACACTTCTACTTTGCTTCTAGTCACTTCCTCTGGGCTAAATTTTACAGGATTTATATAATTTTGATAAATATGAGACTGTTCTACGTACTGAATCTTCTCTGGAAAATGCTAAGTGGACCAGAAATTCTCACATTGAATGCCTGGTGAAGGGACAGTGCCATCTGAAGCAAATAATCTGCTAAATTAATAAACCTCATAAATTACAAAATCCCTGAATACCAACTGCTGAAATACAATCACCCTCTGACCTGAACCTATTAAATGAAGAAGTCTGCTGTGCATAATTTACAACAGTGCTATGAATGAAAAATAGCTCCTTAAAAGGGAGATAAAATACAAAAATGGCCTTGCTGTAGAAAAAGAATTACTGGTTATTTTAGTTCTTATTTATTTTAGTATTGGTTTATGGGTCATCTCATAATTTTTTATCTTTTTCTTTGTTTTGCTCTCAATTGCTCCATAACCCACAGTTGAGACAGTATTACATTTTGTTGTTTGGATGGAAAAGTCATGTAAAAAAGATAGTATTTATCATGTTTATATTGTACATATGCATAATATGTTTCCTTAAAGCTATAAAATATAATATGGCATATATATATATACACACACATACATCTACCAAAAACCAAACCTGTTGCTGTCAAGTCAATTCCAACTTAAAGAGATATATATGTGATATACCAATCTAATTGGGCATTTTATCTGAAGAATCGAAGTGTTTTCAAGGTATTAAATCTGTTCTCAGCTGAGGGTAATTTTAGCCCCTGGGGGCATCTGGCCATGCCTGGAAATTTTGATTGTCTCAACTAGGGAGGAGGTGGTGGATTCCACCGGCATCTAGTGGGTAGAAGGAGAGATGCTGCTAACCTGTTCGTGACCATTGAGATATATGGTTGCCCATCAACATTTTCTGTCTCTCAGGTTTGTTGGGATGCTGCTTTCTCACTGACAGTACATGCTGCCACAAGGCAGGGGCCTTTATGACAGTTTGAAACTAAAGAAACGGGTGTGTGCAGCAAATTACTTTTTTTATAGGGTGTTGTATGAGGTATGCGTGGTTTTGGTTGGAAAAACAGAAATTTTGAAAATTTTATTTTGGGACACATATGTCCTAGTGGACTCAGGAGGGACTCTGGGGGTAGAATTTGTGGGACAACATATGTCCTTTGGGACTTCAAGGGTAGGCTAGTGGGAGGGGGCAAGAGAAAAAAATCCATATAACCTACCGAAAATTCAGGCACAGTCAGTGATTCAGCATGCTTCCATAATGAAAACACATGGCATCAACAAAAAACTTAAAGCAGAAAATAATCAGGTCTTGAAAGGGCTAAACGCCCTGCAAAGCACAGGACAATCTCTACCTCATCCTTCAACAAAGAGTTATCTGGCCCCAAATGTCAATAGTGCCACTGTCAAGAAACTCTGTATCAAAGTGAGGAAAATGAACCCGAGTATCTAGGTATCTACATATTTGGAAGAAAAGGGATCTCCCAAGAACAATCTTCCTCCAAATTATTTTGCAGATGCTCCCGAACAGGCTGTTCTGGGTCAGAGTCGGTCAAAGTGAATTTGGAACTCACCCCCCTAAGTCCCCTCTGGAATTTGGAATAGAAGGATTAGCAGCAAAAATTCTTGTTTGTTCAGAGATTGCAAGTAAGACTTCCACAGAGGTAACCCTTCCAAGGGAGGTGTAACTCAAACCTTGGGAAAACACTGGGTAGAATGTTGGTTGCAATATTCCTTCTATGAGGAGCATTTTGGACCCAGATGGGCTGGGAGAGATACAGAGAAGGAAAATTCCTGTTCCTGCGACCTGCCGCTCATGCTGATTCTATTAATGAAATTATGTCTCTATCTATTGTTTTGGGACTCTGAGGATGAACACTCGCTGGGATTCAGAAAAAGAAAGAAAAGGAGACATGAAATTAGGGCATTCAGGTATTTGTATTGATAGGTCCAATTTTACAGTTCAGGACTGAAATGTGTAAAACATTCTTTATTTCTCTTTCTAGATCTTAACTTAGTTTATCTCTGGAACTTCCTTCATGCCTCCCACCCCCACCACCCACACATCATCTCTTAATCTCCCCCACTACACAGTCATTCTGTCTTATTAAAAAAATATGTTCCCCTAGTTAAATTCAAAAAGGAGCCCTCGTGGTGCAAATGGTTAAGCACTCAACTGCTAACTGAAAGGTTGGTGGTTCAAACCCACCCAGTGGCTCTGCAGGAGAAAAGCCTGGAGGTCTGCTTCCATAAAGATTACAGCCAAGAAAACCCTATAGGGTCTTAAAAGCTAGCAAGCGGCCATCTAAGATGCATCAATTGGTCCCAAACCACCTGGAGCAAGGGAGAATGAAGAACACCAAAGACACAACGAAAATATTAACCTAAGAGACAGAAAGGGCCACACAAACCAGAGACTTCATCAGCCTGAGACCAGAAGAACTAGATGGTGCCCAGCTACCACCAATGACCACCCCACAGAGGACGCAACAGAGAGTCCCTGATGGAGCAGGAGAAAAGTGGGATGCAGAACTCAAAATCTAGTAAAAAGACCAGACTTAATGGTTTGACTGAGACTGGAGGGATCCCAGAAGACATGGTGCCCGGGCTCTCTGTTAGCCCAAAACTAAAAACCATTCCTGAGGCCGCCTCTTCAGACAAAGATTAAACTGCACTATGGGTCATAAAATGATACTTGTAGAGTGTGCTTCTTAGCTCAAGTAGATACATGAGACTAAATGGGCAGCTCCTGTCTGGAGGTGAGATGAGAAGGCAGAGAGGGTCAGGAGCTGATTGAATGGACATGGGAAATCTACGGTGGAAAGAAGGAGTGTGCTGTCACACTATAGGGAGAGCAAATAGGGTGACAAAATAATGTATGTATAAATTTTTGTATGAGAAACTAACTTGAATTGTAAACTTTCACTTAAAGCACATTAAAAAAAGAAAACCCTATAGGGCAGTTCTACTCTGTCACATGAGGTCACCATGAGTCAGAATGGACTGGACAGTATCTAACAACAACAGTTAAATTCAAGATTCAATCTGAATCACGTCAAGGTTCTCACGCTTCTCCTGTCCTTCCCCAGGTGAAGATGTAGGTTCTCTGCAGCCTGCTATGTTGGTGAAAGCAAAGGATTGGAAAAACTATAAATGTCCATCCCACCTCAGCCTCAGCCTCTACCAGGCTCTGGGACAAAGGAGACATCGGACAGAGGACATATGAGGG